TGATCAGAGACAAAAAGCATCTACGACACTCATTGGAGCTATTTCATCATGTTTGTTTCCTTCGCTCTCCTGGCATTGACAGCGGCACAGACTGCCTTTGGGCAAACCGGCGTCAACTGCACTCATCACACTTCGTTCTACGGTCCAAAACACGACCACAACTCCACAAAAAGCCGGACCTTTGAAACCAAAATCCAACCTAACACAGCACCCCCCCAAACAATCTCCTTTTTTCCCCCCCCCCCCCTTTCCTTTCTCGCGCTTCCTGTCACACACACACAACATGGGACGTGCCTGAGAAGGAAGTAATATCATGCATGCACGTATCAAACTTGTTCCACGTACCGGGGTATTTGATCGTTCGATTCGTTGACCGTCGAATATGTGGTGGCCCCGAGTAAAATCCCCTCAAGCGGAGAGAAGACACCGGGTGCCGAAGCGGGTAACAAGTAGAGCCATCGTCAATCACATGCTCGGGCAAAAGGGGTTCTTATTGTCTTGCGCTGTTAAAAACGGTGTGTTGATCAGTCTTTTGCTATTAGCGCCGCTGAGGGTTTTGAATGTTGGCGGACAATAAGACACAGACACCCTTCCCATTCTTTATCGTTGGGTAGGCGATTGAGTCCGAGGCCTCGGACTCGGACTCAACTGCTCCATGAAAATCTCATACATGGCCAGCTCCTACCGCTGCTGTTGTACGATCTTCAACTTCTCCTCCACCAATCGGCCCACAATCTTCTCCAGCATGGCCGGGGCGCCGCCCTGTTCTCCGCCCGCAGCACCCTCGAGGTACCCGACGACGCTCTTCTCGACCAGCTTGCCGACAATGTCGATCTCGACGTTGACCTCGTCGCCGCGCTGCTTGGCCGCCATGACGACCCGCTCCTGCGTGTACGCGATCAACATGACCTCGAACCAACCGTCGGCGTCGTTGACTTTAGTGATGGTCAAACTCGCGCCGTCGAGGGTGATGTATCCCTTTTCCACAACGTAGCGCAGCACGGCGCGGTCGCGCGGGGCCAGGCGGAAGGTCAGGGCGTTGCCGTCGGGCGTCACGCTCGCGATCAACGCCACCGTGTCGACGTGGCCCTGCACGAAGTGGCCGCCCATGCGTGTGGCTGCGCTCACCGCCCGCTCCAGGTTGACTTTGCTCCCCTCCTTCAGCGAGCCCAGGTTGGTGCGCCGCAGCGTCTCGGGTGCCACCCCGACCTTGAACGAGCTGTACGGCGGCTGCGAGGGCTCGAGCTCCGTCACCGTCAGGCACGTGCCATTGACGCAGATCGAGTCGCCCAGCGCCGCGTCCGTGAGGATGGTCGCGCAGTCCGAGATGGTCAGCGAGGTGCCGTTGCCGCCCGATGTCGAGGGGTCGAGTGCCACCAGCGCACTGACGGTGCCGAGCGTTTCGACGAGGCCAGTGAACATGATGAAATATTTCTCTATTGGGGGAGGCGAGAGAGGAGAAGAGGGGAGGTAGGCAAGGTGCAAGGTATTCTTGTCTGACGACGGGGGTGGTATATGTGTGTGTGCGTGAACAGGGTATACAAATGCTACCCTTTTTTTCTTTTTATACCTCGCGAGTAAGAGCGGGTTCGTGTACGAGGAGGAGAGATGAAAGGTGCGAATCTCTGTTAGAGGACAAAACCCCAATTGGTAAGCAGATGGTGGGCAGCTACGCAGCTTGATGGATGCAAGGTGGAGGTCGATGATGCGAGATTTGACTATTATTTTTTGCTTCGCTTGCGTGCCCCGCGTTGCGGCATCAGTTGTGCAGCCTCGGCCTCATCGTCACCACGCAGTATCCACACTAAGTAAAGTATGTACATAGTTACATTCAAGGACAATTATGTTGTGTCTATGACAAGGCTCAATGTGGAAAGGCCTCATGACCTCTTGATGCGACAAGGTCTGTCTGTCTGTCTATCTGTCCATCTCGGTCTATAGAACAGGTCCAAAATCCCGGAGCTGCATGACGTGCTGGTGAGAGGGTATTTCCTATTCAATCTATACATCTATACATCCATCTATAAGTATTTGCCATCTGGGTGGGTATCTGAAGCTGGTTCCAATTCTCGACTTTTGGTGTATGTATTTCATCATTACCACCAGAAGTCTGTTCCTTCTTCCCCTTCCATCAATCTATCTATCCTGATCGTCTCTTGCGAGGGTCCCTGTTCCTTACATAGTCGTGAGCTTCCGGTTAGGCGTGGGTGACTATGAAGGTAAAGATGCCGTCAGCATCGTTCCGCTCGGCTTTTTGATGCGGCGATTTCTCTGAATGCTTCGCTGGGTATGGTATGGGATGCGATTTAGAACAAGCTGCATGCCTTGTCTGATCGCTTCGCTCATCCTCCTTGCCCAGGAAACACTGTGCTCTTTCTGGGTACCTCCGAGTTGCCTCGAATGGCAAGCTCGACCGTCGAGTCCATCGTCGGCTATTCTCGTGCGGTGGTGCGACTCTCGATGAAAGACATTCTAGAAGCGCTTCATATCGTGTTATGTCCACCGGTCAAAGAGGAATGGTTGAATGTGTGTTCAGCATCTCGACTCTGCAGCCTTCGAACCTTCCACTCCTAAGGTCAACGCAGCAGGTCAACACTGCTTTCCAAGTTCGTGCCGCGATCCACTCGTCCCTTCTGTTGTTTCACCCGCTCTTCTTCCTGTTTGGTCGACAGCTCAGTGCAAGGTGGAGGAGACTATCACGGTCTATGTCGACACGAATAGTCAGCGCCTCAAACCTTGAGGGAAAGAAAGCACCCAACTGACCACCTACCTTCTTGTTGTCTAAAATAGATTTCCGCCTTGTCCAGGTAGGGCAGACTTCGATCCCAGGAGAAACGTCTCGTTAGTGACTTTGTCGGACCCAGGGTTGAGTCCGAGTTCAGGGTCGACGTGGACGCTCTCCTCTGAAATTCCATGTCGTCGATTGGAGCATGGATACCGGTCAATAATAGCGTGGATTTGCGGCCGGTCCCTTTACTCTCGATCTTGATGCTGTCTTGACACACTGGACCCTCTGGACGTCAGTAGCACGACCACCACCAAGTCCTGGAGAGATACCGACGGTTGAATTCCAGGTATTTCTTCCGCCGCTTCCCTTTTTCCTGGATTAAATGCACCATGAATCGCATCTCCGACTGCATCTCCCAGACCCGGACGTTCTCGAAGCCCACCAGACGATCATCGTCTCTGCCTCGATGTGGCCGACAAATCTCAGTCACAGGTACCACAAGTCGAAGAGTGGACCCGTAGACAACCTGCTGAAACAGCTCGCAATCTATCCCAACAAGTTTTAAATCAATTTCGTTTTACCCCCGAAACTGGTTACGCGACAAAGGAACGACTTACCAGGTACACTCTTGAACTTGTACTGGACCCAAGTAGTTGGAATCCTCGGATGATCCCGCCGCTGACCCTCTTCAATTGTGAAGAAGGTCAAACCCTCCCCTTGCTCGACAACAGCCGTAAGTTCGTCGCCGTTGATTGAGTATGGAATAATGTATTCCCAGGTGGGCACTAGAAGACGAAGATGGAGCTCTTGTTAGGTGTAAAGTGCTGACTGACGTTTTTCAGGGAGAAGAATGGAGTCGGACCTCGTTGCCTGAACCGTATCGTTCTCTTGTCGTTCACGGTCCAAATATCCTCCACGGCTGCCCCATTCTTAACGAGTAGCACTCTGCCCGAATCGCTGGCCTCTATCAAAACTCCATCTGGAGCTCCAGGCTTCCGCCAGACAAAGTGGACCGACTCGACGCGACTGTGAAGAGATCAGCAATGGCCCTTCCACATTACCGCAGTTCAAGGCTATAGGTACATTTCGGTGAAGCTAGTATGGGCAGTAAGATTTTCAACGAATTCCTTCTGTTCTTTGATGGACGCGAGCTTGACGTGGCGATACTGATCGCCAGGGGTGACGCCCACAAAACTTTCTGGCAGTACCAACTGGTCCTCAATATCCTGTCCAAAGTCATAATCATCAATGTCGAATGTTGGACCTGGCAGCCACAGAGGAGCCATAGGTTGAGCTTGCGTAGTTGATGCAAGTTCTGGAGAATTAACCTGGCTTCCAGAACCCCTTACCGTGATCGATGGTGACGTCGGATTAGGTGATGGGCCAAAGGGACTTGACAACGGGGTGGGAGACGGGCTTGACATTGCAAAGGCGAGCATGTCATGCATGTTGCTAACCTGGACTGAAAGTTGACCAACCTGTTCGCTGCAATGAGGCTGAATCAGCTCCCAAGGATTGATTTCTCTTTGATCCCAGCAACAACTTACGAGAGCAGTCCATTTTCCAGCCAGGTTAGCATCTGAATATGTCGTGACAGTTCTGCTCGGAGGCCTTCGACCACGACGCCTTTGGTGGTCCACTCGATCGTCTGGTACACGGTCTTGAATGCTTCGATCCATTGAAGCCAGGCAGCGTCTGCTCCAGTGGCCGCTCCCTTCCTTTTCACAATGTGCTCATACCTCGTCGCGATCTTTCTCAATTTCTTGGTCGTCTCTGCACACTGTTCAAGCATACCCTGGATATTGCTCTTCACGTCAGCGTGGTCCTTCAAAATGGCACCATGCCGGCGTAGTCTGCTCGCAGCTATCCCCACGCATGATTGGTATCGGTCTGTCTCCTGGATGAAGCGCCTGATCTCGTATGGGGCATGCGCAGCAGCGTGAAGTGTCTTTGCTGCCTGTGTGGTGATCTGAACCAAAGCAATAACATCTCCTACGCCGTTTATAGCCATAGGGCGACAAATATTGGGGGAGGTTCCCAAACAGAAGCAATATTCCCTGGAGAATGTCACCTCCAAAAGCCGATGCCGTCAAATGGATATGGAGAGACTCCATGAACGGTCCTGCCCCAGGAGAGTCATCAGCATGGTCATTCTTGTCAGTGGGTGAGGCGAGGTTCAAAGCTCGTCGGCAGCCTCCGCGCGTGGGCAGAGGGTCCTGCACGAGCCGCGAATCTGCCAACATGTTCTGCTTTGATGAAGACGAACAAATCGGGCCAATTGGAGGAGGCACGAAAGAAACGTGGGCAACAAGTGAGCCTTGCTACTAGCACTTCGCGCTAGATAAAATCCAGAGATAGCGACAAGTAGTGGAGAGGCGCCAACTTGTGAAACATGGCAACGGCTGTGTTGTTCTTCCTGGCTCAATGCGGAACAGACTGATTCAGAGGAACCTGGGATCCGGTCAGTCAGTGTATGTGACAGGGAGCTCAGGCATTGTATTGACCCAATGGTGTCTGGGAGTCGGGCGCGTGCAGCCGCAGGGTTCAGGGGCTCATCCAGAATCGCATAAGGCTGGCGTGGCTGGCTAGATGACTCCCAGGGTACGAGGTAGATGGTCTGTATCTGCATGCTGCGCCCCAAGGCGAATCCCCTGGGTGTTGGCCTTGGAAGCGAGGCCAACGATGGCCATCCCTCTTCCAGCGAAACTAATGTGGTTGGGCCATTCGCAAGGCGAACCCAGCCTGATTGAGTGCTTTTGAATCCTGCGCCATGTACCTTTTGCTTCCAAAGGTAAACAGTGATCCTCGCCATGGTTTTGATGAGATTTACATCTGTGCAATACACGAATTCGCTTGCTCGTGGTCCTTCGATCTATCATCGGTAGATTGTGTACGAGTCAGAGCTATCCATCATGGTCAAGAGGCATAAAGCCTTTCGAGACCTGGAGGATGAGTATAAGCATATACAGGTAAGTTGGACTTATTGAGTTGTGCTTCACGCCGTGTACATTCCAGACGCTTATGGACGTTGCACAAGGATCCGACTCTTCGCCGTCGTCTCATCTTACGGGATATCAATGAACGGTCTTTCAGCCGCGCTCATGTTCGCGCTATCCTGGTAGCGGGGACTGGCTTCCTGACGGACAGCTATGATGTGCGAAGTTGTCACCAGGACTGGGTCGGAGTACACTGACATTCCTCCAGATTTTCGCCATCAATCTGGTATCTGACATGATGTAAAGCCGTCTTCTCATTGTTTCTGTGGCGCACGACTCCTGTCCCTCAAGCCGCCCTGTCATCTGCGCAGGCTAACAGAAATCGTGCAAGTGGATTTTGTTACTTCCCGAAGCACGGGAACAAGATTCCTCAGGTCGATGATACCCTGATCAAGGTCATGACCTCTGTTGGCACCATCATCGGCCAATTGTTCTTTGGTTGGCTTGCCGACAGGGTCGGGAGAAAGCGCATGTATGGATATGAATTGCTGATCATCGGGCTGGCAACTCTGGGCCAGTGTATCACCGGTCCTTCGTCAGCAATCGGCATAACAGGCTTGCTGGTGTTTTGGAGAATCCTCATGGGTATTGGCATTGGTGGCGATTACCCTCTTGCCAACATCATCACGTCCGAGTTCGCTTCGACCAAATGGAGAGGCACGATGGTTGCCGCCGTGTTCTCGACCCAGGCTCTCGGTCAGTTCATCGCCAGCCTGGTTGCCACGATTGTCATTGCATCATTCCGAGATCAAATTGACAACGACGACAATGTCTGTCAGGACAGTGTCTGTACTCAAACTCCTGCTGCAAACCTGGCCGTGGATAGAATGTGGCGCATCATCATCGGTGTCGGCGCCGTTCCTGCGGCGATCGCACTTTATTACCGCCTGACCATCCCTGAAACACCTCGATACACCTTTGATGTGAATCGTGATGTGGAGCAGGGGTTTGCCGACTACAAAGGATGGGTGCAGAACACAATTGGACCCAGAACTGGACAAGGAGAAGTCGAGGATGAGCGAAGAGAGATTCGCGCCGGTCTGAGACCTGGTGAGACCCTAGGCGGCCTTGACGCCGCCGTTGTACCTCAGTCGTCATGGAGCGACTTCAGGCGATACTTTCGACAAGGTTTCAATGGCTGGGTTCTCCTTGGAACGTGCGGGTCATGGTTTTTCCTGGATGTGGCCTATTATGCCCTGGCCTTGAATAACACTATCTTCCTCCAAAAAATGGGATTCGGGTCTCACAACAACAGCGACCCTACACGGCTATACACGATTCTCCGAAGCGGTGCGGTTGGCAATCTGGTCCTGGTGGTGGCTGGTGCTATACCCGGCTCCATCTGCGCAATCCTGCTTGTGGACCGTATAGGGCGCAAATCGATTCAAGTGGGAGGGTTCGTCATGATCACCATCCTCCTCTTGATCCTCGGGAGTTCCTTCGAGAGCATGTCTGACGCATCGCGGGTGGCTGTGTTCGTCCTGATCCTGTTCTTCGTCAATTTTGGTGAGTCATAATGGCTTTGAACCCGTCCTGCACTCTTGATTGATATTTTTCGAAGGCCCTAACTCCACAACCTTCATTGTGCCGGGTGAATGCTTTCCAACAAGGTACAGAAGCACTTGTCATGGACTGGCGGCTGCCTCTGGCAAAGTCGGTGCTGTTCTCGCTCAAGCTCTGACAGGACCGTTGCGAGGCATCGGATTTGAAAAGGGCGAGACCGACGCATCACCATGGCTTCCTCACGTTATCCAGATACTAGGTGCTTTTGCACTGTTGGGTTTGCTCTGTTCCTTTCTCATCCCGGAAACGATGGGGCGGTCGCTTGAAAGGTTGGCTGGCGAAGAGCCTAAAGCACTCGAAGGTGAAGAAACGAGCGACGACGAAGATGGGCACCCGAAGTCGCTGCGTGAGTTGATGTGGGTTTCATGCACGCCTCTGGTGCTGTTTCAGTGGCTTTTCCGCAAGCGCAACCACACAGCTGAGTATGATGGTATTGATGCCGGTGAAGGAACGTTGACAGAGCCGCGAATTTCTTTGTCAAGGATGGGGCCTGGCAACGAGACGTGCGCCGTGAAGTTCAGTGTCTCCAAAAGCCCCCAGCCCAGCCAACAAGATGATGGAGGGCTAAAAATACTCGAGACTGAGATCGACAGGATATCTGGGGAAAGCTTTGACCAAAGAGTGCATGATGATGATGGTGGTGGTGACGATGATGCCATTCGGCGGATCAATTGAGAGGCCAACTGCGCAGCCTCCAGTTTGAGATACTTTTACTACAGATTCTAGAGTTCTGCCTTGAGAGGTGATGTATCTAATTCATCATAAATAGTACCACCATACCACCTATCAAAGCCTGGGAGAACGCTTCGCCTGCCAAACTTACTCCATCTCCTCGTATACCAAAACCCTCATTGTATCTCGCCCCCACGCGGCACATCACGTTAGCCCTCCAGGCCATGAAACAAGTCAAATGCCTGTCCACCAACAACTTTACTAGAGTCGACGAGTCTGCATTGGCGTCTTTTTGACCACCAGGTCTCAGTGTTCATGGCGATAGCAACCAGCGTAACAGCCAACCGCCGTGCATGGGTTTATCATCCCGCTATAACCCCAGCCACAAGTCCATGTTATGCCAGGGCAACAAAGTCTACAAGTGGTGGCGGTGACTAGGAGATGGGTTACACAGGCAGCGCTCCCCAGAACCCGGCTGTAACCAGATTTTTTTTTCAGCCTGATCCCACAAGCTCTTGTTGATAATGGACCTTTACTCGAGGCCTTCGTCTTTTGTGCACTTTCTTCGGGCATCAAAATGGACGAAGAGGAAGGATATCTGCTCTCACCAGCTCCGACTCGTGGCAGGTCTCGTCTACCCTACAACTACCCAACATCCGAGTCGTCAAGTACCACCCGCTGCTCCTTAGTCGATGGCGAGGATTCCTTGCGTCACTCTTTCTCAGCCGGTCAACAGCCACAGACCAGCAAGTCATATTACTCACTCTCTTCGATTGATGACGAGACGCTTTCCTCGCATTCTACCAAGGCGACAACGATTAAGCCAGAACCCAGAGTACGTACCTGGAATCCTGCCACATGGTTACGACGAGTCAACCCATCGAAACTCGCAGGTTGGAGATTCGGCGCCCTTTTAGGATTCGTCCTGTGTGCCGTCGTCCTGGTTTGTAACCTTGTTCTCCTCGCCGTCGGATGGTCCAGGGCCAGTAGGACGAGGGGCATGGGCATTGTCTCTAGTGGCAGCGCAACCAAAGTCGCCTGGCTGGGAACCTTCTCTCACATTCTCATCAATGTTTTCAGCACCGCTCTACTTTCAGCAAGCAACTATTGCATGCAGGTTATAACAGCACCTACACGGGAGCAGGTGGATGCGGCGCACCGTGACGGTGGATTTGTCGACATTGGTGTCCTGAGTCTTCATAATCTCCGCTACGTGGGTGTCTGGAGACAGATACTTTTCTGGACACTCGCGATTAGCTCGCTCCCTCTCCATCTATTGTGGGCCGACCTTTGTTCCGATATACATCTTTGGAGTTCCACATGAACTGACCAGTAGCAGCTACAACTCGGCCGTGTCTGACGTTCTGGGTGGCAGAGCATTCACTGTCACTACTGTTGCCAACACCAGCCTGCCTCCATTTCTCGCGAACCACGACCATAGTGCCTATCAATCTATCTCTAATGAGCAATGGACTGCAGCATACAGCAGAAACCCTGTCACCCGGTGGGGCAACCTCTATCTTTTCGTCGATGCCTACTCCTTCGGCATCAATTATGACGTGGAAACGGCTCGGACCTGGCTCGAAAAAGCATCACTAATGCCCCCTGGGTACTTCGGTCTAAGCAGCCAATTGATCGTGCCACTGACGCACTATGCTCGTGAAAATACGTCCATGTTCCCCCATGTGTCTCTGCCAGGGCCGTACTCGCCTAACTTTCAGAATTCCCCGGGCTTCACACGGTCAGCCACATACACTCTCGCGGATACGGGTTGGCTTTA